CGCTCGCTTCTCATCCCCCATGCCTGCAGACCACGTGGCTCTGTACGCTCGAGTCAAGTTCCGCCATGGCACGGCATCGATCACACAAAGGCATGGCGCCCTGCCTTCAAGCTTCGTTTGATTGACGATCTGAGGCAATGCGGGCGCGGCCGCAAGTTCTGCGTGACTCTGACATTGCTCGGCCGGCTGTTCGACAGTGCTCTGGAATGCGCCTCGGTATCAGCATCGCGACATCGATCTCCCCTCCGCTGCCTGGCATGAACGAGAGGGGGTCCTGTCGAGAGCAGTATCTGGACCCTGAGGATTTCACTAAACCCAATTTTCACTCAGAATTGTGTTCTGACGGTCCCGAGTCTCGGAAAGGGCCTCTGGGATCCAAAAATGCGAAACGCCTCCAAAGTATTTTCTTTCATGCTGATCGACCTAGGGAAACGAACTCTATACACCGACGCTTTTCCGGCCCTGCACCGACATTCGCACAGGAAAACGGATGCTGGTGTATACGGGACCCTGGTGTATACATGTTTTATTGTTTCTCCGGGCAGCGGATAAAACAAGTATACACTACACCACCCTGACGTCGTCCCCGACCCTCGCCAAGTCCTGGGATTGAGAAACAGCTTAATGCTGGTAATGTATGTGCAGCCAGCTTCCGATGTTCTTTCATGTTGATCGTCCCTCTCCCTCGCGCGCTCCTCGCTTCGAAGGTCCTTCCTGGCTCACTCCCTCGCTCCCTTGCTTTCCCTCCACTGCGCCAACACCGAAACGCCGCCCGCGCGGGCCAGAAAGGACTTCCAGGAGGACGACGACAAACGGCAGAAGGACGAGGAGGAGGAGGAGGAGGGGGAGGAAATGGATGAGGAGGAGGAGGAGGGGAAGGGGGAGGGGGAGGAGGAGGAGGAGGAGGAGGAGAGGAGGAGGAGGAGGAGGAGGAGGAGGAGCAGGAGGAGGAGGAGGAGGAGGAGGAGGAGGAGGAGGAGGAGGAGGATGGCAACGTCAGATGGCGAAGATGGACGCTGAAGGCGACAACGGCGGCGGTGACGACGGCGGCGCGAGCGCGGGGGCGGATGAGAACGAGATTCTAGACCGAGACCGCCCTCATTTTCTGGGCTCTAGGAGGAGGAGGAGGAGGTTGAGGAGGAGGAGGAGGAGGAGGAGGTGGAGGAGGAGGAGGAGGAGGAGGAGGGGGGAGAGGGGAAAGAGAGGAGGGCCAGTGGCCAGTGTAATCACAAGGCGCACCAACGATGTTGCAATACACCCTCCCTCCAAAATCCATTTGTCACAGGTCCCTGCAGGAATGTATCTTCAATGCGGGAACTGCTCCATTGGATATCATCCGTCTGAGAATCCTGACTGATGCCCGAAAACAATCCTTGGGACTTCTACACTGCGATCGAGAACCGTACCCAAACACCAAATTGCCTGTTACGTCCGGACAATCCCAAACCGACGCGAAGCACTATTCCTAGAATATCAACCATACGGGTCTTTCGAACAGTTGTAACCGTTCAATCCCAATGTGCACGGAGCTAAGGCGAGAGGCACGTTTTGACAACGACCCGCCCTCCAGCTTTGAAGCCGTTGCGAGCTTTTACAGCGGATGTGCGTAGCGCCATGGCGAGAATATCCTTTGAAACAAGATCCGCCCTCCATAAACCGATGCACATGTTTACTATACATGGTCGCGGCGTGATGGCGAGACCCGCATTTTGACGACGACCCGCTCTCCGTAAAACTCCGACGAATGTGTGCGGTGCTAAAACGAGAATCCCACTCTGACAAAACCTTGCCCACGATCCGTGAGACTGGCGCACCTGTTTCAAACGAATGTGCGCGGCGCTCAGGCGAGAACTACATTTTCAAGCAGACTCGCCTTGCATTCGTGAAACTGAGGCAAACGTTTTAAACGACTCCTTGCGGCGCTAAAGCGCGAACCGCATGTTGAAAACGGCCCACCCTCCATCCGTGAAACTGTTGCACAATTTCAAACTTCACGGGTCATGAGTGGTGCAGAAGACCCATGCGAACCACCCGGCCCGCCCTACCGACACACTCTGGGGTTTGACAGGGAACAGCCTCTCATGAGAAACATGGAATCGAGGAGGAGGAGGAGGAGGAGGAGGAGGAACAGGAAGAGGAATGCAGCTCGCCTACCCGTTGCGCCATCGCCTACTCCACCTGCCCCCCGCCCACACCTCGCTCCGCTGCGCCGCCGCCGCGTCGCACCGCACTCTTGGCTGACCTCCCTCTTGACCCGCGGAGCCTCTGGACGAGTGGGCGGCCCCCGCTCCGGGAGGGGCGAGTGGAAGTGGCTCCTCGCCCCCCCACCACAAGCGGGCCGCGGGGCCCGCGCTCGGGCCCCGCCTGCACGCGCACCGCGCCACCACAGGCAGCCTCGCCTCCCCTCCCGCCCCATCGGTGCATTCATCATCCGTCTCGCCGTTCGGTCGCCCCTCTCGTCCCTCTTACCTCCTGCTGGTTGGAAAAGCGGGTGGAGGGGGGAGCACCAGGAAGAATACATCGAATCGAACCGAGCTCTGGGGGCACAAGTCAGATTGTCCACTTGTGAGACACCTGGGCCACTCCTACCAGGAAGAAGGGGAGAGGGAGGTGAAGTTTCGGGAGTGCCTGGAGTGGCCTCAGAGGGTGCAGGTGAAGAGCTCGCCGCTGCCCGAAGAGTTTGAGAATGTGAGTTAAGCAATGTAGCTGTAGAAGAAGAGGTTGTACTTGTGGATGTAGGCGTGCGCTTGGGTTGCCCTGCGCAGCCCTGCTGCATGGTTGGGGAAGTCGCCGTTGCCGCGCCGCGTGTTTGCTGGTGCTGCTGGTGCTGCCGCCGTGGTAGCAGTGAGTGCGTCGTGGTGTGGTGGAAGGGCGTGAGGGTTGCGGGAAAGGCAGGAGCCAGCCGAATGTGGTTGCGCCGCCGTGGAGCAACACTGGCGGAGGCATGGGAATGGCTGTGCCAGGCGAGGGTGGCTGCAGCGTGAGAAGTCCGACGCCAGGACACATGTGAAGGGGCCACGGGACACACACACAAACACAAACACAAAAACAAACACAAACACAAACACAAACACGAACACAAACACAAACACACAAACACACACACAAACACACAAACACACACACAAACACACACACAAACACACACACACAAACACACACAAACACACACACACACACAAACACACACACACACACACACTAAATAAACACAAATAACAGGATCCCCAGTATTTTCCAATCTTTTCTGGGTTTCTGTCTTCCCCCCACTGCCCATATGTCCTTACATCTTCCTGGGGATCGTCGATGAGTTGTGTCTGTGTGTTTTTTTCCCCCTCCTGAACATGTGTGTGTGTGGGTGTGTGTGTACTGCTGCTCTTCATGGCGAGGGTGTGTGGCCCGTGCCACGGGCCCGGCAGGCTCTCCGGATCCCCCCCCCAAAAGCCCCAAGGCAGGCCGACGAGGCTCAGACGGAGCGCCAAGCCGGTCGAAGAGATCGTCATGTTGATGAGCGTGTTTTCCACCACCACCACCATAAGTTGGAGGGGGGGGTCCTCCTCCTCCTCCTCCTCCTCCTCCTCCTCCTCCTCCTCCCCCTTCGCCCCATCCAACTTATGGTGGTGGTGGTGGAAAACGCGCTCATCACATGTAGTGAATCGGACTCTACGCACCGACACTCCTCCCGGCCCTGCATCAGAACTTGCACTGGAGAGCGGATCCCAGTGTATACGTGACCCTGGTGGACACATTTGTCGTTGTTTCCCCGGGACATCGGGGGAAAAAGTATACACCGCACCACCCCAGCGTCGTCGTCGACCCTCAAGAAATCTTGGGATTGAAACACAGCCCGCAACTGGTGATGTATATGTTCCAGTTTCCGATCATGACGGTTCAGGTCAGCCCCACGACGATCCAGGATGGCTTCGAGATGGCCCACGAGGCTAGCCAAGACAACCCAGAAGCGCCTCCAGAGGAACGCCGGAAGGGCCCCAAGAGAGTCAAAAACACCACATTCCCGCGAGAACACGTACATTTCCAGCAGATTCGCATTTTACTTTTTGACAGCGAACACGACAGCCCAGGTGGCCCAAAAAATCGTCCCAAGACGGCCCATGATGCCTCCAAGAAGGCCCTAAGGCGGCCCAAGAAGGCTCAAAGCCAGCCCCAGGGCCCCCCGCAGACGGCCCAAGCCAGTCCCTGGAGGGCCCCAAGAGGGCTCCAAGAAAGCCCAAGAGGGGGAATACGAACTGACACTTCGAGCCTTCTCCACCGAGATGGCCCCTCGAGCCCCCCAGAGGCCCCCGAGGGCCCTCCAAGAAGCCCTAAAAGGCCCCAGAGGCCCACACGGAGCCCCGAAAGGCCTCCCACATGCCCCCAATATATCCCACGAGGCCCCAGAGAGACATCCCAAGAGGCCCTCAGATTCATCCAGGAGGCTCCTGGCAAAAAAACAAACTTCCAGGGTCGTCTCACACTCTCACTTCTTGTGGGGTCGGCGGAATGGCGTAACCCCTTGAACAAGAAACAGGAATGGAGCAAACCGAGGAGGAAGAGACGGGGGAGGAGGCGGAGGAGGACAAGAGGAGGCGGGGCCTCCTCTACCCCCCCCCTCCTCTCGCCTCCCTCAAATCCTCCTCCTCCCTCCTCCTCCCTCCTCCTGCCTCCTCCTCCTCCTCCTCCTCCTTCCCTCCCTCCTTGTCCCTCCTCCTCTTCCCTCCTTCTCTCCCTCCTTGTCCCTCCTCCTCCTCCTCCTCCTCCTCGTCCTCTTCCTCCTCCTCCATCTCCTCCTTCTCCTCCTCCCTCCTCCCTCCTCCCTCATCCCTCATCCCCCCTCCTCCCTCCTCCCTCGTCCCCCTCCCCCCCCCCCTCCCTCCTCCTCACTCCTCCCTCCTCCCCTCCTCCTCCCCTCCTCCTCCTCCTCCTCCCTCCTCCTCCCTCCCTCCTCCTCCTCCTCCTCCTCCTCCTCCATCCTCTCTCCTGTGGCGCGCCCGCGGCCGGGCCTGCCGCCGCCCGCAGCCCTTGGCCAAGTGGCCCGCGACGAAGTCGCCTATCCTCTGCAGCCGGTCGGAGGCCCCGCGCTCGGGCTGCGGGCCGCGGGGCCGCGGGCGCCAACGCTCCCCCTCCACGGACGACGGGGCCCCTCGGAGCTCTGCCCCCCGCCATCCCCCATTCCTCCTCGTTCTCCTCCCCCCATGTCCTCCTCCTTCTCCTCCTCGTCCTTCTCCTCGTCGTCCCTCCTCCGCCCTCCTCCCTCCTCGTTCAGGGCCTCCCTCCTCCTCCTCCTCCTCCTCCTCCTCAGGGATTCCAGGGAGAGCAGGACGAGAAGTAGTGGATGGGAGGGGAGAGCAAGGACATGACGAGGACGAGCACGAACACAGACAGGACGCGGTCGAACCGCCGCTGCTTCATGAGCTGCTCACAGTATGACCTCGAGAGCCTCCCGCCCTCACAAGCCCCGTGTACGCCTCCATCTCCCGAGCATGAGTGTGGCTCACTGACGAGCTCCTCTCTCCCGCGTGGCAGCTCGGATCCTAGGCACGGGCTCAGCGGACAGGCTCCCCCTCACCACAAGCTCTGTCTATGCGCCGAGTCCGCCCGCGGGATCTGACCCCAGAAGCACACGAATGGGATCGGCTGCGCTTCCTACCCTGTGGCCTCAGGCCAGGTCGCCTGAACCGGATAAGCTTAGGTCGGGCATGTCCTCCTAGAGGCGGATTCTGGGCGAAAGTTCAAAGATAATGCAATTTCTTTTCTAACGCCCAAACATTGTTGAAACACCGTCCCCAGACTGTTATTTGACTATTCTTGCATATTCCTGTAGAGGGACGCGCCCGACTCAAGGATAAGCCCACCGAGCATCTGCCAAGAGAGGGGATGGAGGCAAATCTGGTCAAGATTGTTCCCTGGAGCGCCAGAGCTGACCAACCTTTCGAACCGCATGTGACCGCTTCCAGCCGTGGTGACGAGGGAGCCCTTTCCGCCGCCCCCCTTTTCCCTTGCCAGGAGCAATCATGCGCCACCTCAGCCCTCGGCCGACTCCGAGCCCAGACCGCCACGCGCGAAGCGCGATTATCTTCGCACCCGCGCGGTTGACCCACTCAGAAGAATCACGAAGGGCACGATGAACAATCCTCGGAAGTCCGCGCGGACTTCTTGGATCCGCCCAGGCGCCGCGAGGGGGGCCCAGCGCCGATCCAAAAAATTCGTGCAGTCTTTCCTTCCTCCACTGGAGGCGGGCGGCCGCCCCGGCCATGCGCGAAGCGCGACTGCCTTCGCGGCCGCGCGGGGGATCCCAGACACGCGATGCCGTGATTGTTTCAACGCGCGGTCCTGGGCACTCCCGGCCCCCTCGCCGAGGCCGGCATCCTGGACCATTTCGTTGGCGGCCCTGGGGCCCGGCGAGGGCCTTTAAGAGGCCGAACGCGCCCAAACACCTTCCGTTTTTTTGTTTTATATATATAGTTCTTTCACGACGCGAGAATTTCTGGGATCTGGGATCGACTCGAATTCGGCGATGTGTCGCCGGTACTTGGATGCGCGATATAGGCCCCCGATAGCGAATCCGAATTAGCCCTGAGCGGGGTGGGCCATCGGGCCCTGATCGGCGATCAATGAGCGGTTGGGCGTCGATCCCCCCCGCCCTGAGCCTACAATAAGGTCGGGCGTGTCCTCCTACAGGCGGGTTTTGGACGACAAATTTCAAACAATCAGAAAGTGTTCAAAACATGTTCAGATATACTCAAAAAGTATCCCCACACATTTTTTTTGATTATTTTTGAATATTCCCCCTGTGCAGGGACAAGCCCGATTCAAGCCTACCCCCCCCCTGCGTTGCCCTGAAATTGTTTTCTGGCCAAAACCCGGGTCTCTGGCAGCCGCTCGGGACGACCAGGGCGCCCATGGAGCGTCCTCGGCGAGGCGGCGCAGCCCACTGGCAGGCACCCCGTGGCTAGGAAAGCCGCCGCGAACGGACCAAGACATTCGAAAGGATGAGGAGGAGGAGGAACAGGAGGAGGAGGAGGCGGAGGCAGAGGACCAGAGCAGAGCAGAGCAGCACCAGCGATCCGATGAATCCGAACGCCCCAAGACTGCGGCACCCTGCAGGGCCCGAGGAAAACAAAACAACGGATCGGGTGTTCGAGAACCACTTAAAAGGGGCCCGACAATCTTTGGGGCCCTGCAGGGGGATGCCTCTGGCAAAGGCGAGACCCTCAATAGGGGGACACCACGAGGGCTCGCCTATGCACTCCCGCGCGTTGCAGAGCCAGAGGCAAGCGACCAATGAGCCTACCCCAGCACAACCCCAACGAGTCCGAGGTCCGCCCGGGGCCCGCGAGTCGGCCATCCCCCAGAGCGCTCTCGGCAAGGCGCAGCAGGCGAGGGGCGTCGGACAGCGCCCGAAGGCTCGCGGCGTCCAGGAAAGCCTGAATTGGGGGGGACCTGAACAAAAAAAAACTCTAACCTCCAGGTCGCCGTCTGAGTACTCAAGAATAGGAGTAGGGGTCCGAGCCTGAAGGGCGAGGACGGGAGCATCAGACAGGTGGCCCTGGAAGTGCAACTCGGCGGCTCGGCGCGAGCCGTTCGCTGCCGTCAAGCGTGCCCTCGCAGAGGAGGGTCTTACTCGTCCTCGTTCTCGGGCATGTCCTTCAGGCCCAGCCTCTGCGCGAGCTTGGCCGCCTCGCGCTCCTTGTCCTTGCCGCCCGCCGCCAGCGACTTCAGCTGCAGCGCCGCCGTCATCAGCGCGTGCTGGGAGCCCTCCCACTTGTTGGCCTGCTGCGGGGCTCCGAGCATGATCTGCAGAACCGGGGCCTGCATCATCTTCTTGTCGTCCAAGCACGCCTTGATGCGGAAGTGGCGGCAGCGGGTGGCCATCAGCTCCAGCGCGCTCTCCTTCATGATGACCGTCTGCCAGTGACTCCTGGGTACTGCCTGTGCCCCTTCGGGCGTCGTCTCCTTGCCGCCCATGCAGGCCCACTTGAAGACGTGGGGCAGCGGCGGCCCGTACTTGTGGTCCGTGCCGTCCGCCTCGCAGCTCTCCGCGCTCGCGCGCCCCGCCTCCTGCAGCACCTTCGCGAAGGCCACGCGACCATGTAGCACGTGAAGCAGGCGCCAGTCGCCACGACCAGTTCGCGCGCGTTGGCGAGAGCGAGGACCAGCAGCAAGGCCGCCAGCGCCCCGCCCTTGACGCCCTTCTGCTTGGACTGAGCTTCCTCCCCGAGCGCCTCCAGCAGGCCGGCCTCCTCTTTGCGCTTCACTGCCCAGCTGGGCTCCTCGAGCTCCATCTACCAGCGCTAGCGGCATGTCCTCGAAGTGGACTCCGGTATGGATGTGAAGATCATCTTCAGTCGAAACTTAAGCCTCACACAGCCGACTGTGGAAGGGGCCCTCAGGGGCGGCGAGCTCGAGTGTCGCGCTGAGCTGGTGCTTGCAGAAGCCCGAAGCGAACGAGTCCAGGACGTGGTTGTACGCCGAATTGCGACTCTGAAACCTACTGCCGCACACGAAACACGAAGTGCCCTGGGTAGCCTCAGCGAGCAAGGTCTTGAAGCCATGAGCCGCACGAGCGTGAACCAGCCACTGCCTCTTAGTGAGGAACAATTTGTCGCAGCCGTCGACGGTGCATTGGATGCCCTCAGCGTGGCCTGCAGGTGCCACTGGGGGAACGGAGCCTGATGAGGGTGGCCTGGAGGAGGGGCGCTGACGGAGGGCCACGCAGCCCCGACGATCGAGAGGTCGAGCTCAGTGAACCACTCCCGCAGATCCCCCTCGTCGAAGAAGTCCAGTGGGGCCCCCGTCCAAGACCGCATATCCTCCTCTATGTCCGTGGAGACCCTCCGAAGCACCTCGAAGTCCCGAACGAACTGTACGGCTCAGGGTTTGGTGGGCTCCGTGAGGTGGCCCTCGGAGGTGAGCGTGCGGAGGCCCCGCGGCTTTTCGATTTTGAGGTCGCCGAAGATGGGGGCCCACTCACTCAGGTGCCTCGCAGGGTCGAGGGCCCACTTCTGATACCAGCGCAGACGACGGAGACGAAACTCCACCTCCAGCGGGGGGGGGGGCCTTCCAGTACCTCAGAACGGCCTCAGGAGGAACAGAGCGTGCATGCCCACCCTCCCAAGACGTGGCAGCCCCCCTCATCGCCCTTCGCCTGAAGAAAACCACCCGTCTTGCGAGCTGGTCGACCTGGCTCGGGGTGGGCAGGACGGCCTCGCAGGCCGAGCAGGCTGGACCAACGACCCTGGCCAGGAAGACGGCGCGCCTTTCGGTGTAGGCGATTCGCTTGGAGTACCAATACTTACCCATGGAATAGAAGCCTGATGAAAAATCAGTCACCCTGGAACTGAACTCGGCCCTAAAAGAACAGTTGCCCATGACCTGGCCCCCGAGGTGGCGAGCGGCGTCAGCAGGGGCCCCAACAAGAGTGACCTTTGTTTCAATGTCCCCCCGTCGGCGAGCGTGCAATCCTTCGCCCGCGAACGACAGGAGGCCAACGTTCTTGGCTGGGTTGAGGGCGCGACCATGGCGACGCAGCTCAACAGAAAGAAGCAGGTCGTAGGCACGTGACCACCGTGCTAACTCCCGAGCCGACGGCCCTTCTGTCACAATCGTCCGAACCGCGTCGTCCACGTATGAATGAAAAGCTAAGTCCAAGATGGTATCCTCGCCATCGTGGTGGGGGCTCAGACTCGGGGCCAAGCTTCTCGCATTGCCCCTGCACGGTCGAAAACACTGCACTGATATCGCGCACGAATACGTTGACCGCCCAAGGGTCTCCAATCAATGCCCCCACGCAGGGGCGAACACATATACCTCCGAACATCGCTGCAGCAAAGCGAAACCTCTGGCCGCTGGAGGAAACATGGTCCTCCCTCATGATACTCTCGTTGGCGTCCGTCAGGCTCTGCCAGTCCGAGGAGGCGAAGGCGTTGGTGATGTCCTTCAAGTCGGTGACGTGGTTAACGTTGAGGCAGCGCAGCTTCCATGTGCAAAACTGCTGACCAAGCATAAACCGTCTCGCGTCGCCGATGTGGAAAACATCCGTGAACGACCAGGGGCTCGGTGTGCAGCTCGGTCGCGTCGATCGCCGTCGCCATGAAGCCCTTTCCGAACGGGTCGAGGTGGTGGATCACTCGCTTCCAGGTGAGCGCTATGCCCTGGCTGAGGTGCCACCTGACCAGATCTGCGAAGCCGATGCATGAAAGTCAGCATGAACTTGCGCGTGAACTCGAAGTCAATTTGCGGGGTCCCGTAGCCAACACCATGATATCGTCGGAGGAGACGGTGGCAAGGGTGAAGGTGCTGACCAGGGCGGGCACGCGCGTCGCTTAAGAGCTCGTCTGATCCATCTACGAATCTCCTGAATGCGATCCTTTGCCCAAGCCAGTCCCTCCTCTGTTCACGGCGCAAAGAAGTGCTGAGCCTCCTGACCACTGGTGTCGCCGTAGACGTAGTCACCAGCTTCCTCGAGCCAATCGGTCCTAGCGGCGGCCATGCCACCACGGCCTGCAGGTAAGGCCCAGCGCCCAGCGAGCTCCTCTCCCGTCGGTAGCGCAACTGGTGCCCCGCGGTAGTCGCGCTTGCGGGGGCCAACGCCTGTGCCTGCAAGAACCCGAGAGAGTCGGGCAACTTCAGCCCGTCGTCCTTGCCTGCGCGCCTCGTTCAGCTCGTCAACCGTGTCCTCACGCCAGCGTCTCCAGTACTGCCGTCGCGCAGATCTCAGCCACTTCGTATGACAGCGAAGTTGCCATTGTACCTCCAAAAGGGCTGGCCTGAGGGACTCGTCAATCTCACCGCTTACAACCCCAATGTACGCACCAAGTTGGCGCCGAAGTTCCCGTTGTCGGTCGGGGATGGGGTGGAATAGACGCCGCAATCGTACGATATCCAGGTCGGTGCTCGGGAGACCTCGCAAAGTGCTTGCTGCCGGTCGTGAGTAGTGCATCCATGAAGAAACCCCAGTCGTTGTTTGGTGTCTGCTCCTCTCGTTGCATTTGCTTCCACGTATCCTCGGTAGATCTCATGTCTGCTTCCAGCTCCAAGGGAAAATCGGCGCGCCCCTGTCCACTACGAAGTGGCTGCGTAAGAGCTTCGCATTTCCAACGAACGAGGCGTGGCACATAGCCGAGCCGTACGTTCCCGATCATGTCGCAGTGTGAGCGTCCGTAGTCTGTTCGATTGAGTACTCCATGCACAGGTGTACTGGCACGTGATCGCGCGCCTGCACCGTAGAGATAACCTGTAGGTCACGCCCAAGCCGTCGAAGGGGGCCCGCCGAGGTAACGTCGCCCAGCAGAGTCTTCGGCATGAACACGAAATCGATATGCGTGGCGGTCTTGGCCCCGAAGAACGTGGGGCCGTAGCCGATGTAGTTGTTGACCGCCACCATGCCGAGCTCCTCCATCAGCGGCAGGATGCAGTCGGCCGCGTAGCGCTGCTTGTCCTTGGCCGTGGAGCCGAAGACGTCGGACTCGACTGCCCGCCAAGTGCTGTCCCCGTCTAGCTGCTGCAAGCCGAACCCCGAGTTCAGGTCGATGCAGAAGATCGGGGGCACCCGCTTGGTGCCCAAGTACGGCAGAGTGCGAAGCAAGTTGGTCAGAGCATCGCAGGTACGGCGATAGACGCCAGCGCTGCCCTTCACAGGCGGCGGCGGGAAGTAGGCCGAGCAGACCCTTATGTCGTACTTCGCACAACGAGCCCTCAACGCCAGACCGCGTCCAGCGAGCGAGGCTGGAGGCGTCCACGTGTGGGTGACGGAGCCGCGCCGAATCTTGGCCCCCAAAATCATGGTGCAGCCAGTACTCTTGTTCGTGAACGGCCCACGAGCCCACCCGCTCTCGATGTACCAGTTGTGATCGCCTGCCCGTCGCCAACGAACCTCCCACTGGTGCTCCCTGCCGTACCCCTTGGCTGTAGTTCCGTTCAAACACACGAAATCGTAGGCCCTGCAAGCCTCAGCGATGGACGCGAGCCTCTCGCCACTCGACGCGTGCATGGGGTTGTACTGGGGCGCTCGCAAGCGTCGCCCAGCCATGAGGACGAGCGGGAGCCAGCAGCCCACACAGAGACATCTAGAAACCATCGCGAGGGAGTATAGATGTAAAGGGGATGTCTCCAAGCGGAGGCATGAAGAAAGTGCGGGAGCGGACGCCTGTCGCCCTCAGTGCACCTGCGTACTCCTGACCCAGATGCCTTGAGGCGGAGGAGGAGTAGGACGAGGAGGAGGAGGAGGAGGAGGTGGAGGCGGATGCGGAGGAGGAGTAGGAGGAGGAGGAGGAGGAGGAGGAGGAGGAGGAGGAGGAAGAGGAGGAGGAGGAGGAGGAGGACGAGGAGGAACAGGAGTACGGGGAACGAGGGGGAAAACCTCGAACCCTGAACCCTCTGACCCTCGAGCCCTGCTCCCCGCCCTAGCGTGGCCCCCGAGACCCGCTCCTATCCTCCCCATTGCGCGCGGGGCCCGCGCCTCCAGCGACGTGCGTGCGTGGAAGGCCCACCGGGGCGAGCCGAGGTGGTGGCCGAGGGCCGTCTCCAGCCTCGCGCGAGCCCGCCGCGGGGCACGACGACGACGACGACGACGACGACGACGACGACGACGACGACGACGACGACGACGACGACGACGACGACGGGCCCTAACGAGCAGGTCGGGCGGGCGGACGCTAACGGGCGGGTCGGGTGGGCAGACCCTGACGGGCGGGCAACGGGCGGGCGGGTCGGCTTAGCACGACCACTTTAGGCGATGGTCGTTTTGCCCATGCCGCTGCTCGCGCCGCAGCACGAGGGACCAGAGTGGAGACCTGGACAAAAATCCGGCCTTTGGGGCGGAAGTTTTTAGCCATGACCTGCTCCCGCTGGCGCCCATAGTGGGGGGCCGGCAGCAAAGGTGAGCTTCGAAAGTCGGTCGGCGACACCTCATCGATGATCCGCCGCCGCAGGTGGCGGGCAACATGCCGAGGCCCTGGCGCAAACGAAAGAGAACTGCCTGCACACATCATCTGCTGCTCGTTGGCCAGGCCCAGCCTGAACCCAGCAGCAGTGCAGACGCCACGCCGCCTTGCCTTGACCAGGAGGGCGTATACACTGCTCCTGGGCCCAGGAAGGATCCGGCCAGGGGGCAGCGGACATGTATAGCTTTCGTTGCCGAACACAGGCACCGGTCTCGGCCAGGCCCAAGCCCATCCTATGGGCCCAAATTCGGTGAACACGCGTCATCCTGGCCTGGCCAGGGGGGGGACCATTCGCCGGTCCTGGGGCCATCGGAGGAGGAGGAGGAGGAGGAGGAGGAGGAGGAGGAGGAGGAGGAGGGGGGATGGGAGGAGGAGGGGGCCTGGGTAGGACCGGTGAAGGTGCACAGCTCTTATCGCCCGTCTGTGCACCCCACGCGACGTCTCGTTCTGAGCGCGCGCCCCGACTCGGCCCCTCCCTCCGCGGCTGAGGGGCAACGATCGAGATCTCCCTCGGACGCGCGTGAAGCAACTGCAGGCACGGTGGATCGAGGGTGCAACCAGCGGGTGTGAGTGCCTCTTGCGGGACCGCGCGCACATCGTAACCTCGCGTGGCTCTGCTGACAGGCACGCGGGGGATGGGCACCCCGGCCCGCGCGCCCCCTCCCTGCGTCCCCAGCTCCCGTGCGCTCCACGGCGCCTCTGGGCGCGGAACTTGTGCTCGGGCATGCGCCTGCGACCCCCCCCTCGACAGCGGCTGACTCTGGCACGCCCTGCGCGCTGCATGCCGAGCGCGCTCCCTCCGCATCTACAGGAACAGCAGACTGCCGTGCAGATTCGTACACTGTCAGAGCTGCGCGCGGATTTCTCGGATCGGCGCTGGGCCCCCCTCCTTAGAGCGCGGACCGCGCCAAGGGCGGCGCCGGAGGCGCCGCCAGGGGGTCCAACGCCGATGCAAGAAATCCGCGTGGAGCTCCGACACTTACTGTTCATGCCATTTTTGTTTACCCGGATCAAGCTTTGCCACAAGTGCCCGGCCGTGTGATGCGCCTTCGGAATAGTTCACACTTGCTTATATGTTGCTTTATGCTCGCGCTCAATGTGTGTTCGCATTGCTGATGTGCTGCCTTCAGCTTACTTTTATGATGCCATCGGTTTGATTTTAGTTTGCGTCACTTGCCCAGGCATTGCTACCAAGCTCATCTATCGCGTTCCAACTTCAATCGAGGTTACCTGCGGCTTTTATCTGGATGTGGTCTCGATCCGCCTTCAGATGTTGCTTTCTCGGCGTTCGGCTTAATAAGTGCAACTCTTCAGATATGATGTAAGCCCTTCACGGCGTCTAGCCATATTCATGGTTCTGCGACATCGGCCGTGACGCATCGGCCTCTTTTGATGTCAGGGGCATTCTATGCTGGAGCCACTTGTGTCCACAGCAATGGCACTAAACGCTGCTGCGAATGGCGACGAACCTGACACCAACATCACACGCCTCGCTACATACCTACAAGCCTGACGATTACTATCGCAAGAAACTGGCAAACAATAACATTATGGCCACGAACCGAACCGAGAACCGAGAACCGGGCTTGGAACCGAACCAACCGAACTAGACCGGCCGGCCAAACCGAACTGGCCGAACCGACGCGGCCGGATGTGCGAGCCGAACCGGCCGAAGCAGACAGGCCGAACCGAAGCGGCCGAGCCGAACCAGTGGCCACCCATCCCAAGACAGCTCCCCAAATAGAACCCGAGAAGCCCACAAGGCGACGGCGACGGCAGCGACCGCGAAGACGGAAACTCCAGGGCCCCCCGGGGCCGCCCAAGGCCCCCCCAGGGTGCTCCCCCGGGGCCCGCGCTGACCTGAACCAACACTAGGGCGACGACGACGACGACGACGACCACGACCAACACCGTCGACCGACGACCGACGACGACGACGACGACGACGAACCCCGGGGCCTCCCCACAGCCGCCACGATGCCTCCGTCGCCGTCGAATCCCTCCTCAACCTCTTCCTTCTCCTCGCTCCTCCTCCCTCCCTGTCCCCGTCGGATCTGCCGAACGGGCCCGCCTGGAATCGAAACGAAATCGGATCGTATCAAATCGGGTCTGCACCGATTCGTCTGGGCGAACTGGCCGAACCGGCCGAACAGAACTGGCCGAACCGAACTGGCCAACAAAAACGAAACTCGAACTGGCCGAACCGAACTGGTCTGCGACGCGAGCCGAAACTGCCGAACTAGACGCGCATCGAACCGAACCGAACTGTCATGCAGTAAGGACATATGATGAATTCGCTACCGCTTTTCTGAGATGGGGATGCTACAATCTCTGCCCCCTTCCGAATGAACGCGACATAAAATTCCTCACAACTAACCGCTCGCAAGATCCGCTTTCCCCTTGTTCTTGGACATGGAAATTGGGTATCAACCTATCAGCTCACCTCTCGAAACCATGCGCAGCCCCTGGTAATGGCACGACCGACCGAGGGGGATCAGACATTCCGTGGACCCACTTAGGACATCACCTCCTCTTGATTCCCCTTGGCCCAGGATACATGCCACCCATCTCTGGGAAGTCTGCCAGTACGAATGCGTCGATGAAACAAGACGGGGGGCTCGCGCAGGGTGTTCGCTTTTTCCTCTGCTCTCGGCCTCTAGTGCTCAAGTAACGATGAAAACATGAGGTGGCACGAATACCTGCCCGCCCCCAGCTGCAGTGACACAATCCCAGAGAGAGAGAGAGAGAGGGAGAGAGTGAGAGAGAGATAGAGAGAGGTGGACAAAGAGAGAGAGCGAGAGAGAGAGATGAAGAGAGTCATAATGAGAGAGAAAATCACATATATATATATAAATAAAAATATAGAGAGATAGAGAGAGAGAGATATAGAGAGAGAGGGAGGTAGACACACACCATGGCATATACTATTAGCAGGTAGCAGCACGTACGTAAACACTATAATAATATGCCCACACGCTACTGATATGCAAACACGCAGCAATACTTACACCTTGCTTCTCGAAGCGCGTGGGATGCCCGCGTAAACCAATGAACATCCCACCAACACTCGGAGGTGGCTTATCTTTCCCTTCGGGGGGGGGAACCTATCACTGCTCCTTATTAACGTACACCGCCTCCCCTATTCTACTGGCTCCTGGTCAGGGCCCGTGCCGGTCCCCCCGCACCGTCCCTGTCAACAGAAACAAACCAGCATACAGTTTGCGCCCAAATCTGGGACGTGTTCGGGCACTTCGGGGCCACTTCGTAGGAGGAGGGAGGAGGCGGGAGGAGGAGGGAGGAGGAAGGAGGGAGGAGGGAGGAGGAGGGAGGAGGGAGGAGGGAGGAGGAGGAGGAGGAGACCTGGGGAAGGGGGTGTGGGCTCACTGCCCCACGTGCGCAGGCCCACGACCCCTTCCACAGAGGAATGCAAGGTACGTGGTGCGGCAACATCTTGGACCATGCGCGAGGGGGGGGGGGGGCAATCTAATTTCACACTGCATTTGTTGGGGGGGGGGGGGGAGGAGAAGGAGGGAAGCTGAGGGGAGTGAACGCGCGACGGGGGTCGGCCACAGTGCAGAGATGAAAGCTTCATTTCGCACTGTAGTGATCAAGGTTGGTGGGGCTGCCTTGGCACGCGCGGCGCACCTCGCGCGTGCCGAGGCAGCCCCGAGCGCCGCGCACCGGCCTGGCGTCCGCACCGGCTCCCGACGGCTGCCGATGGCGGCCCTCGCCCATGCTGAGGTTCGGGGGTTACTTAGGTTTGAGTCGGGCGTGTGCCCCTATACAGGGGGATTTTCGACGAAAAATAAAAAAACTCTTCAAAATGGTAACAAAAGCAATACGAGTCCTCAGACCATGATTTGACTATTTTTGAACATTCCCCCTGTAGAGGGACAGGCCCGACTTAAACTTGGGTGGTGGATGGCGGAGTGGAAACAGCGAGACTGCCGCCCCTGCGGGGGGGGAGGGGGTGTGTCGATCACTGTTCCTTATTCGTATGCGCCCCTTCCTCCAATCGACTGGCCGCCGATCCGAAACCACGCCGACCCCCTCCACTACCCCCCGTCAGAAACAACACGATACACACTTTGCTGCAACATCTGGATCACGTTCGGGCACCCTGGGATCACTTTATGCTGGTTCCTGCCTGACCTGGAGGAAAGGGGTGCCGGCATACTGCCGCGCACTTGACATCACCAAGAGGCCATCCCACACTGATGGCGGTGGATGAAGGCACGTTTGTCATGGCCACATCCTTCTGTCAAGTGTAGCGGGTTTACGTCATGCCTGGGACGACGGCGATGCCGATGCCTATGCCGACCCTGGACGAGAAAGGGTCAACTGCCCCCCCCGCCGCAATCTCATCCCCAGAACCCCGCATATTCGAATACGAGGAATTCCAATCAAACTACTAACCGCACATCCACGAACGATGCCCAACTGGTTGGACGGACCCAAACGGAACTCCCTGCGGACGGAGTCTCCACCATCCGCATCCGTGCGCTGGGTATGAAGTCGTAGAACAGCTCAGAAACCATTGCGTTGCCTTCCCGGCCAGCAGGGGGTCATTGCATTCCAGAGCGTTGCGTTGCGCTGGGGGGGGGGGGCGTTGCAAGGGAGGGCGTCGCGTTGCGTTGCGCTGTGGGGCGGGGGGTGTTGTGCTGCGCTGCGCGGCGGGGTGGGGGGCGCAGCGTTGCGTTAGGCTCGGGAAGGGGGGCGCCAGCGAGTGGTTTTGTCACCTAGAACAGTGACATCGGCCAAGTCAAAGGGGCACTAGCACAGCTGATCTGCATTTCTGTGTGTGTGTGTGGACAAATGCATTCGTGCACACACATACGTACATGCATATTTGTATACACACACATCTGTATGCACATACAGCTAATGTGTGAATATGACAAATAGGACAGGGAGAGAGGGACATCCACATGCATATATATATATATATAGAGAGAGAGAGAGAACGAGAAACGGGAGGGAGAGAAGATGGGAGGGAGAGAGAGAGAGAGCGAAATCATGGAGGTGATATCACAAGCCCTCCCTTCCAGGTTGAAGACAATACGACCGTGCAACATGGCGCTGCTCGGATCAGCCTCTGGTGAAGTTTATGTGAATACGAAATAGCCAAGCCATTGCATGACAATGGATAGCACGAGCTTGTCAATGACGAAATAATTCAATGATCATGCATTGATGTCTGCCCCGAAGCCAGATGTTGACATGCGCACAAATCGGGCATAATACACCAACCCAAAATCACACGCTCACAATACCCATTCGCTCAACGCAAACAACACATACTCCCGAACAGTGGCCCGCATGCGCGCGACTATACCTGCAATCAATCGCGAAACCAATGTGATCAAAATTATTACATGGAATGTTGTGATGTCTGCTGCTTTCCCTCTCGCGTCCTCCCCCATCCTCCTCCCCGCTTCGTTCGTCCGCCTGCTTCCTCCTCTTGCTACACTAGTTGTGTTTACGTGTCCCTCCTAAGCCTCCCTCTCGTCCTCGCAGTCTTCCGCAAGCCACTACTCCTGCTCCTGGTCCATCGATCTTTCTCCTTGGCCTCCACCTCCATCTCCTCCTCCTCCTCCTCCTCCTCCTTCTTCCTCCCTGCACCTCCTCCTCCTGCTCCTCCTCCTCTCCTGCTCCTCCCCCTTTCCCTCCTCAGCCGCAGCCATTCTGGCTTCCGCGCGCGCCCCAGCCGTGGACGGCTCCGGGCGCGGAGGCTGCAAAGGGAAGCTGCCAGGCGCGGGGCCCTTCGAGCGCCCTACCAGTCCGCCCGCGAGCGCCCCCCGAGCACCTCGCTCCGCTCCCCGCTCCGCTTCCCGCGCCCCTGCTCCGCGGGGCGCCAGTGGTGACGGAGGGCAGGCGGCGGGATACCCCCAAATCCCTCATTGCTCGACCCCTCCCCCCCCCCCAAAAAAAAAGGACCCCCCTCGAAATGCGACCTACTATGCCGGACCCTCCTCTTCGACGGGGCGCCTTCATGAACTGGACCCCCCAGGCTCCAATCCAAAGAAAGCGCCCTAATGAACCGGACCCCCCCCAGTTACAGAAGAGGCGCCTTCAATAAAAGGACCTGGGGGACGATTAGTAAGGGATTTGGAGACGGCGGGTGGGCGAGGTGGCGGGCTGGGCTGCTGGGCGGGCTTGCGGGCGGGCTGCTTGGGCTGGCTGGTGTGCTGCCCGGGGCACTCGGCTTCGACGACGGCCGGGGGCCCTTTGGACGTCGCCTGCGTGGACACTGGGGGCCTGCATACACAGTCCGGCGCACAACGTTGGGGTGCGTGATTGCGAGGGCGCTGGTAAAGACACAACATCATCACATTCGTTCACGTCTACATCACGTTCGTGTCGTAGTGTGACTCCGCTTCTCTTCACAAGGGGCTGCTTCGAGGGCTTGAGCTCTCCCGTCGAGAGCGTGGCTGTTGAGAACTGCGAAGGTCACAAGCATACCGCGCTCGCGGCCTCCGGCCGTGCTCGGCGAGCGCCCGCCCAGGGGGCCAGGCCCCAGCGGCACGGTGCGGTGTGTCGTGGGGACTGGCCTGGACCCCATCATTGGCTTACCGCACGGTTGCCCCCGGCAGCCCGATGCATCTCGTGCAGACAGAGATCCCGAAGAACCCCGAGAGCCCCCGAGAGATTGGAAGCCCGGCGTGTGTGAGCCTGGATTTGTGCGCGCGATCGTCGGAGGAGGGTTCTGGGCACCGAGCTGGTTATACAAGCATGGGTACTCGGGCACTTCGTGCTGGGCTGCAGGTACATGTGAACACTGCAGCTCATACCACGTTGGTTGGGTGTGCGAAGGTTTGGCACATGAACAGGATCAGGCCTTTGGCAGGGTAGATGTGCGTGGCTTCCCCACTCGTTCTCACGGATCTTGGTTCTGGACTCGCAGCCTGGCGCCCAAGTCCTGTTTTCCTCCCATGCCTCGGCGCGACGACAGCTGCCGATGGTACGTTGAATATGGCTCGCTCGATCTGGTGCATGGTGATATCTACACGGATGGGGCATGTCTCAAGATCTGATATTGGCAAGAATATTCCAGAGCAGGATGGGGATTCGTCAAGTACACGCCACGCTCGAAAAATCTCATTGTGCACGGAGCGCTTCTTGGACCGATGCAGGTTTCACCGCTGGCTAAGCTTTATGCCCTTCTGCAGGTGCAACACGTATGCATCTTGCCTGTTCGCGTGTTGACGAATTTCTTGGGACCAGTTAAAGACCTTCATTTGAGTCCCAGTTTCTTTTGCGGGCCTCGCAAGCCGAACCCTGACCTTTGGGAGGCCATCTGGCGCAGCATCGATGACCATGGAGGCCTTCGAGAGGCCCTCTGAGCTTTACATGTCAGGGATGACCAGACTGGGGAGTCCATCTGAGGAAGGTCCAACGTATGGGCTCACCTTTGCACTCTGCCACAACAAACAAAACTTCAGGCCATGCACGTTTCAATGAAATTCACCCGTGTGGCCTTGCATTGGCTCGCCGCAGCACGCTTACATCATTTGTCGTTTGGCTGTGTCGGGACGTTTCGTCGCCCACGTAAGATGAAACATAAAGCGCGGTGCAAACCAACCGACTATCTCTCCGAAAGGTTACGGCACTCTTTCCAGCCCGCTGGGAGCACCCAGTTCAATGCAGGAAAGGGTTGAGACCGAGACTGCCAGGGATCGCTTTGGCATGGCTACCTGTTTCAATCACGTGTCCGTGGCCTATCGTGGAGCTGGACCTGCTTGCGTCTCTCCGCGTGTGTCCGACGTGCTGGACCCCCCTACTCCTGCGCAAGAGGTGTCTGGTAGGGTTAGGTCGGGAATGTCCCCCTACAGGCGGATCTAGGAAGAAATACACCCAGAATGATCAAGCATACTCAAACATATTCGAACACATCGTCCCCAGACTACTTGGTCGCCTATTTTGGAATATTCCTCCTCTCGAGGGACACGCACGACTTAAGTCTGGTAGGGCGATGGACAACCCCCCCCTCGGCCTCGTCAGGCGCCGAAGCTGATAGGGGGGGGCTTTGCCCTCCCCTCCCTGGGCCCAGAGGCCCTCCTGGGATCCCTGGATCCCTCGGGCGGATACAGGAAGGGCCCGACCACGAAAGCCCTGCCACACGAAGCCCAACCCTGAGACCCCAGGGCGTCCATCGACTTTGCCGTGTGGGGGCGCCACGATTTCAATCGCGAAACCATCGGAACCCAAGAAACCCAGAGCACCCTGGAGGCAAGCAGGGTGTTTCGTGGCATGGGTCTCCTCTGCATGTGGGAGCAGGGGAGCGGGTGAATCCCGAAAAGCCTCCCGAAGCCCGCGTTCTTCGACCTCGGCTCTCGCAAATCCTTGTCCGTGCCCGCTCCCCGAACCGGGCCGTCCGCCCCTGTCTCAGTCCACTGCGCCTGCCGTGCCTCTCCCGAGTGCGGGGGTCGTCTGGCCCAGAGCGCCTCGAGGCCGCCGGTGTTGTGTATCCGAGGGTGCGGTCGTGCTGTGCATTCGGTGCGGGTTCTACTCGACAGGTGTCGCTGGGCATACGCTTCTCAGACTGCCCCCTCCCCGACCTCCGTGCCATGAGCCAGCGTGCCATCTATTTAATCGTTGGCTTTTCCTTGCTGGACGTCGCCCAGCAGGTGAAGGCCGACATGACTCCAAGAGGATCCCACCGACCCCCGCCTGACCTCGACGGACCCCAACGTGGTTTTGTTGAGGCTTGGTGTAGGGTCATGATATTTCGCGTGCGGCCCTCCAAACGTAATGTTAGGTGAGGGTCTTTTTATTCGGCGTTTCGCCATTGAGCGGAAAGGGGGGAGGCGGGGGGGGCTGGCTGGCTCCGGAGCTCTGCTCAGTGCAACTGTTTGCAAACAAGTGCGTCCTATGGATGAGGACTCGCCTGCTCGAAACGGACGCCCAAACAGCCAAGATCTACTCCATAGCAGGGGGGAGGGGATGGGGTGCAAGGGCCCGCGCCGATCGGCAGAACATGCCTACAAAATGATCACAATGTTAGAGCTTGCTTAAGTGACTTGCTTATCCATTCACGCTTGTGCGGCCTCGGCGGTCGGACGGCGAACGGCGAGCGCGCGGCGAGCGCGCCCACGTGGCCCTGTTTGCCTCAAACTCCAAAGCCGCCCCGCCGCCGCTGCTCGCCCCCCACCACCCCGTGCCGCGATCCTCACGGTGGGCAGGGGTCGTGACCTTTTGGGCGCGAGGTAGAGTCGGAAGCTGTGCGAAGGCTGGCAAATCCGTGGCTGCTAAAACGGCCTTCCCCGATGAAAAACACAAATCCCGGAATACGCACGAAGTAGTAACCATGTTGCATCCTGGAAAGAAAAACAATTTCCCAGAGCTCCGTTTTAGCAGTCACCGGTTAGCCAGCCTTCGCGCGGCTAGGCCTCCTTGACGTGGTCCGAAAAGATGGAATTGGAGGATCGCGCTGCATCGCCGATACATTGGCGATGCATCGGCGCTGGGATGCACTGGCGATGCATCGTCGACGCGGGCGATGCATCGGCGTCGTCGGCGTGAAGGAAATCGGGCTCCACGTCGAGCCGCATCGGCGATGCATCGGCGATGCAGCGCGATCCTCCGACCCCATGTACTCGGAGCCCATCTAGGAGGCCCACACTAGAGGGGGGGGGGGGGGGCAAAGGCCCTCTCATTCAGAGGTGTGCGTCCAGCGCTGCCCGCGACGCTTCCCGCGCACTTGCTCCGCGGGGCGCCGGTGATGGAGGGCAGGCGGCGGGCAGTCGGGTTGGCGTGGTGGCGGGTGGGGCTGGTTGGGCTGCTGGGCGGGTTTGCGAGCGGGCTGGTTGGGCTGGTTTGGCTGGTTGGGCTGGCTGGTGTGCTGGCTAGGGCACTTGGTTTCGATCCCCTTGGGCCCCCCTGCCGCGCTCGGGGCGCCCGCCCAGGAGGCGGGTCCCCCATGGTGCAGTGCGATTTGCCCCCCCCCCCCCCCCCCCTCGACCGTGCTCGGGGCGCCCGCTCAGGAAACCCGTCCCCCAACCGTACGATGATTTGACGACCCCCCCGGCTGCCAGCCTGGTCTCTGGAGAGCGGTTCAGAGCAAGTGTCGCTTGTACGAAGCACTTCCCTCCCTTGGTGGTGACGGAGGGCAGGCGGCGGGGGTAGGCGGGTTGACGTGGTGGCGGGTTGGGCTGGTTGGGCTGCTGGGCGGGTTTGTGGGTGTGGCGCTGGTTGGGCTGGCTGGCGTGCTCTGGCTATGGGGCTAGGGCAATTGGTTTCGATTGCCGACGTGCGACTTCTGCTGCTCTAGACGTGAATGCCTCAGTCCGCGCGAGCACGTTCGAGCGGACCAGGCGAGTCAAAGCGATACGCGCGGTACGCATCCCAGTACCAGATGAGACCCTGTCCGCGCCGAAGCTCCTGCTGCTGTGCGTGCTCATGCCCCGAAATCCAATCGCGCAGCGCCGTGACAGCCCAGTGCGCAAGCTCGGCATGAGTGCGTGCTTGGCGCGCGCATGTCTCTTCGGCGCCTCCAGCATTGTCCCCGCAAGGCTTATTCCCTTGCAAGTCGCCCCCCCCCCCCCCCCCTACGAGAGCACCTCAAAGAACAGAGACCACATGTGTCATGGTTTGCGGCCTCCAGGCGGCGCTTGAGACTGTCGCCACAATGAGTAGCTGCGCTGGCGCGGTGGCGGGGCTCGCCTCAGGCAGCTGGAAAACGCCTCAGGTCTTTACCTTCCGAGCCCCACCCCGACAGTCTGTCCGTGGCCCGCTTCCCCTGGCCGCCCTGACCTCTGCTCCGAGCCGACTTCGGCCCTGGTGACTCGGAGGGCCCGTTGAGACAATGGCGGCCCTCTCGAAGGAGGAGGGGAGGATCAGGTCGGACAAAAAGGGTGGATCGCAAGGGTGGGGGGTAAACGAATCAGCTGCATGCAGCTGGTTTTCCTGGCGCCTCCTGGCGCGAGGAGCGACCATGCGTCGAGGACCGACGCTGGGCGGCGGGGGCAGAACCGGCTGCACGCATCACTTCGTCCCCCCCCCTCCCCCCCCCTCTCGCCCGCCCGGGGGGAGGAAGGACGGAAGGCACTTCGCTCCCCCCCTCCCCCCCTCTCGTCCGCTCCAGGGGGAGGAAGGCAGGAAGGCACTTCGTTCTCCCTCCCCCCCTCCTCCCCCCCCGCTCGTCCGCCCCAGGGGAAGGAACGAAGGAAGGCTCGAGGAGAAGGAAGAGGAGTTGGCATGACGCCAACGGCAGGTCTGGACGAAACAATAAAAAATAGCAACACGCTTTTAAATATTAAAGAAAACGTTCCGCACTTATTTTTTGACTATGTTTGGATTCCTCCTGTAGAGGGACAGGCCGGACTAAAGCCAACGGTCGGCGACTCTGAAGGGTGTGGTTTGCGAAAGGTGCGGCTCGCAACGGGGCACCGGGAGGCACCCCAGGGGTGGGGGTGGGGGCGGGGACCTCGATGGAGTTCTCTGCCGCGCCACGAGGAGGCCCGACGAGGACAATGTCGTGCCCCCAGGGCCCCCAATAGAGGGCAACAAATCCACTCCCATAATGACCACCCCGACAAGCGAGGCCGTTCAATAAACGCACCCAAAGAAGGAATCGAACAGGGCAGGGTTGTTTAGTAAACACCCAGGGCCGTTTCGCAAACGCTCAATATCGGGCCCGGGTGCTTCTTCTTCCCTTGACCAAAGGCGCCGATCGCAAACCACACCCCGGCGCAACCACACCCTCTGTCGTCGCAGCAACGGGTCCTGGACCGCGGACCCTTCCCCCCGAGACCACTTCTTCACCCCGAAGTGCATTCTGTGGACGCCCCCCTTGGCCCAGGGAGGGCCTCGAGAGCCTGAGCACGGCGAAACACACCAGGGCTCCCGCCGCTCCCCGGCGGGGGGGCTGTTACAAAAAAACGCTGAAAACAAACAACACAGAAAAAACAAGAGGGAGGGTGGAGGTGCTGCCGATGCCCCTACGGTAAGACGAAGGCAGAGTCGAGCCACACTGGGACGGATAGAGGTCGGAAATCTCTGAGCACCCAGCGGGCTTGGATGAGGCATCGGGCGCCGCGGCCACCCCGGAGCGTCACTCCGAGAGCGTTCTGGGACGCCACGGAACGAACTTCTCTCGATTCTACGCTTAAGTCGGGCATGTCCCCCTGCAGGGGGATTTTGGGCGAAATCTGAAAACAATATTCAAAACATGCAACCCAAATGGGCAAACATAGAAAAAACAAATGGTCCTCAGAAAATGTTTGGACTATTTTCGAATATTCCTCCTGTAGAGGGACAAGCCCGGCTGAATTTTTACGCCCGTCCGACACGGGCCCCTCCTCCACGATCCGTCAACATCGAATCGGAAACCGGGTCGAAGCAGAGTGCGCGTCGGGTCGGCTGCGCCAGCATACACAAAAACGCCATGCAGACAGCGGGTCGCACCAGGTCGCCGAACATCGCAATCGAATCGAACCGAAAGGGCCGACACCGATATCAGAGACACAAGAAGCGGCATACACATAGACTCTCGAAGCTCCGCGCGGAGTTCTTGCATCGGCGCTGGGCCCCACGGGGCGGCGACTCTGGCGCCACACCCGGCGGGGTCCGCGCGTGAAGGATGGGGGTCCAGCGCCGATCCAAGAAATCCGCACAGAGCTCCGACAGTTCATATCTGTGCAATTATTTCGTAGAGATATCGAGCCAGATCGATCGCATTGAGATGAACCCTGTCGAATCGGATCGATCTGACGACAGGCGCATGCGCCGCGCGGGCGGGTGCGAACGCCGTGCGCGGGGCGCCCAGCGCTCGGCCTCGCGAGCCGCTCCACGAGCACGTCCGACAAGCCCACCGCCTCTGCTGGGCCGGGCAGGCGGCGCGTCGCAACGCCCCGCGCCCGGCGCCGAGCCCGTCAGCTCCCAAGCCGGGCGTTGGCGAGGCTTGGTTTAGTGCGGCCTGGCTTACACGACGTTCATTTCTAATCGTGCTCATTTCTAATTGTGCTCGTTTCTAATTGTTCCTGGCCCCCTAGTGCTCCAGGAGGAGGCCCAGGACAGAAGAATTAGAAATGCAAGGATCCTGGCCCCCCAGCAAATCAAAGAACTTTCGAATAATAAGAAATCAACCATGTGTAGTGGTATGTACCAGGAGGCGCCCCCTCCGCGCCACGTTTCGCTGACTCAAACTGCCGTCACGCGAAGAAAACACCACCTACGGCAAACTTGGCTCGAAGATTCCGGTTCCGTTTTGGGGCTTCGCGGCCCAAGCACTAACCGGCTCACCTTACCTGGGGTCCTTTCTCTGGTAGGGGCCTCCCCAATGGGGTCGGAGTATTTAGATGGGGTCAGAGGATACTGCCGCATCGTCGATGCATCGTCAATGCATCGGCGATGTCGGCGTGGCATCGGCGACGTCGGCGCGAAGAAGCTCGGTCACCACACCGAGCTGCATCGCCGATGCATCGGCGATGCGGCGCGATCCTCCGACCTGACCTGCTCCGACCCCATCTGGGATGCTTAGATTTTCCACTCTTGCTCCCCGCTTGCTGTCTCCCCTCTGTCTCTTCCCGCCTGCCCGCCCGCCTTCTTCGTCACGCTTTCCCTGGCCTCCCGCCTATGCGTTCGCCGTCGTCTGCTTGTTTCTCGTTCCCTTTCTCCCTCGACGTGGCCGTGCAGCACAACCTTTCGAGCCGTGTCCTAACCCAGCCCCAGGGCCGTCAACAAGACGACTCAAGATGAAAAGTCAGCCCTGGGGAAGGGCTCGAGACCTCGGAAAGGGGTCCGAAATGCGAGCAAGACGCGACGCGAGGGGTCTGAGAGGCTGGAGGCATTCTGAGAGGCCCCGCCGCCTTCTGAGGCGGCCCTCGCCTTCTCCATTCCCCCCCTCGCTCGCCGCCGACCTGCACCAGATGAACCGAACAGCCAAACAAACATTGACTCCCGGAGGTATGCGCGGATCTCTCTGGTCCTCCGGCGGACCACCCCCGCGGTGGCGCCTCTGGCGCGCCCAGAGGGGGGGGGGGAGGCGGCCCAGCGCCGACCCAGGAGGTCCGCGCGGACTCCCGAAACTCTACACCCTGCGAAATGCTCAAGAAATCATGGGTTAAGAAATTCACAGTCTCAGAACTTGAATAAAAAACCCAACATTTCTATTATCATCTTAAAATGTACATTGAAACGTTAAGACTAGTCGAGACTCTGGCCGAAAACTTAAGTTTTCTTAAGCATCGCCTAAGGTGTATGTTTGCGGCGTGCGGTCAACCCGCGTCATGAGGATGCGCGACCAGGACGCAGAGGGGGCCCTGCAGGGCCAAGTTGGCGTTTCTCGAGAGAGGCCGCCGTGTCATGAGGATGCGCGACCAGGACGCAGAGGGGGCCCGGCAGGGCCGAGTCGGCGTTTCTCGAGCGAGGCTGGCCAGCGAGAGTCGCCAGGGACAGGCCGAAGGGGCAAAGATGCGAGGGCACCCCTGGGAAGGCTGCCCATCCTTCCTATGCGGGTTGGACTGGAATGTCGATTCGTGCGATCATTTTCTGACACCGCGTGGATCGTTGAATCTTCAACGATCGCGGCCCTCTGGTAGCGCAAATTCTTCGGCGTCGGCGAATCCTGGGCCAGCGACCGCGTTCAACCAAGAACCCTCCTGTTGGGATCGCCGCCGCAACAACGCCGCGCGAACTCTTGGACGCCAGAAGTCGGTACGGAAAAATGGGGTACGATGCCCGACAACATATGCTGTCCAAACCCTGCATCACCCGCTGTTGGGCATGCGGCCTTCTGTCTCACATGGACAACGTCCGCGACGACAACGACAAAGAGTCATGAACAAACTGAGCAAGACATGCTGTCGAACTTTGTACCCACTCTTTCCGTACCCTATTCGGTCGTCCCGAAACTTGGTGTGTGTAGTCCCACCAGCCCTTTGAGGTGGTCTAGCGAGTTCTCTCCTTTCTTCCAAAGCCCCATCTTCCCTTCGGGGAAAGGTACCCTCCCGCTCCCCTCCCGGAGGTGCTTTGGGGCGGGCCGCGATCGGTTAGAGCATCCAAGATGGCCCAGGATGGCTCCAGGAAGACCTCCGATGCTTCAAAATGGCCTCCAAGGCGGCTCAATACATACGGAGATGGTTCAAGATAAAGTCCGGCATGACTCCAACACGCCCGGCGAGGACCACAAGACAATTTCAAGTGCTCTCGGAGCCCCTCGGGGTCCACCCAAGACGCCCAAATTTTTTAACAACTTAGTGAACCGCAATGATGTTGGCCATCTCGCCTTTTCGCTTCCGATGCGCTTTTGAAGCCTCAGGGTTGTTCCAAGATGGCCCACGAGAGCCTTAGGAGGCTCCCAAACGGCCCCAGGACCGCCAAAGATCTGCCCAAGATCGTCCCAAGAGCGCCCCAAGAGGCGGTTTTGATGGCCCCAGGGGGGGGAGGCAAATTGAGAACCCCTCTCCTTTTGATCGATGGCCAAGGTGGCCCCAATAGGCCCTCCAGGGCTCCCAAGGAACCTCCAAGAGAGCTGCAAGAGGGACCCCAATGGGCCTCAAGACCCCCCGAACGAGCTCACGCTAGATGACCCCAAGATCCCCCAAAAGAGTGCCAAGAAGGCTCCACGATGCAATTTGAGAGCTCTGTCCTCGTCCTCCTCCTGATCCTCCTCGTTCTCGTCTTCATCCGTGCTCTCATCGTCTTCCTTTTGCTGTTTCCCCTGTTATCCTCGTGGTCGCCGTCGTCTGCCTCCTCCTCCTGGTCATCCTTCCCTCGCCCCCACGCGGGCCACAGGGATGGCCTGAAGAAGCCTTCCACAACCATCCCTTGCTCCCAAAACATTCTGTTCACCCTGGTTGGGGGTGAGATCGCAATGGAACGGGGAGCCCCCCCCCAACGGGGAACTCGGTTTCGGTTTCGTGTTCGTGTCGCGCGTGCGGGCGAGGCGAAGCTGCATGAGCGCGCGAGAGGAATGACCCCACCGTCGCTAGGGCGACTCGGATGCAATGCCCCAATGGGCGCGCGGTGGTCCGGGGTGTCCCGCCATGGTGTCCTGTGGTGTCCCGTTGGTGTCCCGTCGGCGGTGGGTAGGCAGTGGCCGTCCCGCTTTGATATCGGTAGCGAAGTCGATAGTGCAATCGATCTTACGATCGCTAGAATGCGATGGATAGTGAGATCAAAGTGAGGTCGACGTGAGGATGATTGTGACATTGGTTGTCAGGTAGACAGTGGGGACGACAGTGACATTACATCGCAGGGCAGCATCTTCATCACGCGCCGTCGCTAACTCGAGGGCGCGCCACCAGCATCGTCATCACACCCACCGCATGTGCCTGCACCTGGTTCTCCCCCCCCACACCCCAACCTCCTTGTCACCCGAAGGGTGGTCGTATTAGTATGTGTCGCTTCGTCCCTTTTCCCGTCAGCCCTCATGGACAGGGCTTCCAAATGGGCTGGTGGGTATACGCGAAGCGCGAAGACTTGCTTGCCTCGGTGAAGATGAGGACTGGGCAAAACTCCGAATGGCGGCAGGAGGCCGAGGCGGCCAGCGAGCACGAGCCTCCTGGTGGGCTAGCTTCGCGTACGTGGCATCTTCGCCTCGGAGGGTGGACAACGACGAAAGGGACTCAGACGCGAGAGCTCCACCATACGAGCACACCTAAGATCAACACACATCTAACAACGATGATGCAGAACACCTACTGTGATGCTCCGTGCTCTACCCAGCCTCCCCCTTGGCCTTGATACCGAAGTGTCGTCGCGCGTGCGGGACTCCCTGCAACTCATCACATGCTGCGTCCGTTCTGGCCTCTGACGTGCTACTTCCAGCGCTGCGCTCAGGACATTATACTGTCCACCAATCACCCCATCTTGTTTATTCTAAGACACGGATGGGATGGAATGGACATCTGCGTGCCGGCTCTGGTCACCGGAGAGGTCCCATTCAAGGCAGACCGTGCGCTGAGCATGTCGGAAAACGCGATTAACAAATCGTCAGGTGTGCAAAGCAACGAACACACGCGGGTTCGCACAAATCCTCTGGCAGGCATTCAGTTAGAGAAACCCTGCCGGCCAAGAAGGGCTACTGGAGGAGAAGGAGGAGGATGAGGATGAGGAGGAGGAGAGGAGAGGGGGGCAACCAGCAGCACGCAGTGGGCTTAGAAACCACTGACTGATCATGTACGGAACGCGTCACCCCATGTCAAGCTGGGTCTGCCGACAGAGCGTTTGGCGACAGTTCTGAACCAAGGCTTCGAAACCAATGATATGTTGTTACATTTTTCTTCGGTGTCCAGGAAGGGTCGTGAAGCATAGTGCCAGATCTTGCCGCTTGAAGTCTGCCCCAATCTTTGATGTTATACTTGTTGCAATTTCCATCGGCTCGTAAACTTGTATTTATTTATAATCGACCCAACTTTCATCATCACCTGTCGCTACGCGGAATATGTTGGGTAGCATCTTTCTCCAGGCGGTTCTGAATCCAAGTAATGTGGCGGTGCCCGTTGTCCAACATTCACACCCACACAAAGCAGTTGGGGTCACCACGCTGTCAAATAGTCGCACTCGCTGCCGTAGAGATACAGGATACGTCCTCGAACACAACGCTTTCAGGAATTTCGCAAAATATATATTTTCACGCTTGCGCCAATCGATTCGTGAACTCGACCTCGCAGTAATGGCCCAAGGATATCTGCCTCCCCAACTATCTTTCAGATCCTTCTGCATACCCATCCCCCGCCAGCAACGTGAACGCTGCTTCTTCGCCTGCGGGGCTGGCCAGCCAGGTGTTACGAGGGGGCGCCTGGATCTCTATAGGATATGCCACCGAAGCGAAGTAGCTCATTTCACTAACCTTCGCTGTACGCGTAACACCTCGTGTTTGCCCATGGCTTTATGGACCCCGTGTGAAGCGGATCACTAGCACACAACTTCGTTTCCAACATCCGCGGCTGCTGGTCTGATCTTGCCATGCCCAATCACGGAAGGCTCTCGTTACAGTAATCGGGCTAGCAGCGACACGTTCAGGAGAAGGAGGGGCAGGGGGAAGAGGACACGGAGCAGAGTGAATAGAGGACGGAGGATGACGAGGAGGGGCGTATGGAGGCACAAATCTTCAACGGCTGGCCAGCGCGGGTGGGCTGTCCTTACCTTAGCTGCCCCGACAAGCAGCACGCAACACGTAGCGTACTGATACGGAGCTGAGCACGTAGACTGAACGACGTCTGACGCCATAGGTTCGCCAAAACGCGGGCGAATACGTTGAACCAACACGCAACGTATCGACACGGACGTTCTGAGCACAGTACGTCCAAAAAGGCGTATCGGGGCAACTAAGGTCCTTCTTGCCGTGGCCGTGCGGCCGTCAGATGGGGGCTCGAGGGCGTCAGGAAGAAGACGAGGAGGCACTTCCCCCCCTTCCTCCTCCTCCTCCTCCTCCTGCTCCTCCTCAACTCCTCCTCAACTCCTCCTCCTCCTCCTCCTCCTCCTCCTCCTCCTCCTCAACTCCTCCTCCTCCTTCTCCTCTTCCTGCCCCGCCCTCACCATACAGAGGCCCCCCCCCTCCAAGAAGTGCTGGTGGTTGGGGCCACCATCGGGCCCAGGCAGGGCTGTGTTCACATGCTGCTCCGAGTCAGTTTTTCCAAGGTGGCGCACGCTGCGGGGGTTGCGCATGCTGGGTGGGTTGTTTTTGCGACTGTTTGCAAGAGTGCGGCCTCTGGGGGAGACCCCACCCGCTCCAAACAGGCGCCAAAAAACAACCAAGATCTACTCTACGAGGTGGGGGGAGGGGGGGTGCGAGGGCCCGCGCCGATCGGCAAAACAATGAACATACACAGATCACCTTGTAAAATGCTGCTTCGACTGCAAGGCGTGGGACTCCGTTGGAGGGCTGGCAAGCTCATCGGCGAACGGGTGCTCCCAATGTTGTTCGTGGGCTGAGAGCGGGGGGGGGGGCAGGGCGACTCCCCCGCGTACGGCGCAGGGCCTAGGCAGCTCCTGCTGTGGAGCTTGGTAAGCCTTGGTGGTCTGGCCTTGGTGGCCTGGCGCGGGGCTTTCGGGCTCCACTGGGGATGATCTTCTCTTGCCTGGTGCGGGGCTTGGTCGTCTCCCTCTCTTTTCGCCTGCGTATGAGGGGCCATCGGACGGCCCGAGTCATCAGCACCCTGAGCACCATCCCCTTCCAGGTCCTCCTTTTCACGTTGGGCGAACTCTAGCGTCTAGGCTGTAGCGTTCGTGTTAAGGGAACTGAGTGTCGACTCAGGCCTGAAGGTCAACACATTCTGCCTGGCGGGCGTAGCAGAAATCAAGACAGGCACTAGAAACAAAGAAAAAGACGGCGGGCCAAAACGGGCACCGAGTATGCGCCAGCCAGGGCGAGAGAGAGAGAGAGAGACGAACGAGATCGAACGAACCAACGTACTGGGGGGAAGCCGAACAAGAGGGATCGAGCTACACGTGCACAGTCAACTGAGGTGGTAACATAATTCATGTCCTCCTCCTCCTCCTCTTCCTTCTCCTCCTCCGCCTCCTTCGGCGGCGCGCAAACATGCATTAGCGATCCATAGATTTGGCGCGCGGTCGCCACATCCATGGATCGGGGGAAGTGCCCTGACCCAAAATGCGGCCGGTGCCGCCTCGCTCGGCGGCGGAAATCCGGGACTTCCCATGGAAACGAGACCCGTCGCTAATCCACGCCCCCTTGATCCATGTTTGCGATCGCCTGACTCCTCCTCCTACCTTGCCCACGCCCTCCTCCCCTCCCCTTTCCCAGTCCTCGGACCCGTGAGCTCCACACCCTCCTGCAGCCTCGCCGTCGGCGCACTCGCACTCGGAGGTGCACCGAAGCCAAAACGAATGCCCGACGTGGTCGCCGTCGTCTGTGTCGTCGTAGGTCGTCGTCGCCGTCGGCGTCTTAGGTCTTAGGTCGTCGTCGCCGTCGTCGTGCGTCGGTCGTCGTCATCGTCGTCGTCGGTCGTTGCCGTTTTTGTCGCCGCCGCAGTCGGTCGTGTAAGCAAGAGGTGGATGGCAGCAAGGTCGCCCTCGCCCTCATCGAGCTTGCGGTCGTGGACGTCGATAATGCGCTCTATCATCGGTTCTCCTGGCGAAAGCACGGCGCACAGTCGCGTGAATTCTGCGATCGTCACAATCAGAACTGATGCTGATGCCACAAATCTCACCCTCGGTTGCACGGAGGAGTGACCCCAACGCGCAAGCCGCTGCTATCGCATCGCCGTCGGCGATCGAAAGACCCCAATGTTGAGCAGGGACCGACCGTCCTGGCACTCCTATAGGCCTACGACGACATGTTCTTAGGACCCCAAAGATGTTCGAATCGCAAAGCCCGATGTGTTAAACCAGGACGGTCTCAGCCAGACATGTTCTAGAACATTTCGTGCGAACCACAAAAGCTTCTTAGAACATTCTTTGGTGGGCCTATAGGCAAGCCAGGGCGCGTCGCCACTGCTTGAAAAAGGTCACTCCAATGCAGGGCCGCTCTTGCGTGCAGCCAGCCCCGCAGTTGCAGAGACCCCCCCCGCTGTGCGCGGAGACCCGCCGGCGGGGGCGGTTGCCGCTGGCGGCTGCGGAGGCGCACGGGCGTCCTCGCAGCCTGCGCTTGCGCATGCCCCAGACCTTGGGGGGAGGAGGTGGAGGGTGGCGGCGGATGAGGTTGATGAGGGTGGCGGCGGATGAGGTTGAGGAGGAGGAGGAGGAGGAGGAGGAGGAGGAGGAGGAGGAGGAGGAGGAGGAGGAGGAGGGGGAGGAGGGGGAGGGGGAGGAGGAGAGGGAGGAGCGTCCTCAGGTTCCCTGGTCATATGTGCTGCGTCTGGTCATATGTGCTGCGTGCTGCAAGTGCTATATAAAGGGGCCAAGAGCCCCAAGTCCCAAGGCTTGGTGCGCGCGCGCGGGGGGAGGAGGGGGGGAGGGGTGGCGATGTTTTTTGTGTATTCGGGGAAGGCTTAGCGAACTTCTCAGAAGGCCGGGGGACTTCCGAACCTTCTGAGAAGGCCTTCTCCATCTCTCTTCCCCCCTCGCTCGCCGCCAAGTCAGGAACCATCGCTGGGGTCGCCACGACACGACACGACGCCGGGGGGGGTAGAAGAAAACAACATAAGCACAAACTTTTGGCGCTCCGCACGGATATCTTGGATCTGCGCTGCCCCTCCCGCCCCCGGCGCGCGGAACGCGCCAGGGGCGGCGCCGGAGGCGCTGCCAGGGGTGGCCCAGCCCGGATCCAAGAAACCCGCGCGGAGAGCCAACAGTTTGTGTTTATGGTATTTGTGCTTCTTCTTCTTCTTCTTCTTCTTCTTCTTCTTCTTCTTCTTCTTAATTATTATTATTATTCCTCTTCTTCTACCCCCCTCCTCCCCCCCCGGCGTCGCGTCGTGTCGTGACGACCCCGGTGTTGGTTCCGCACCAGGGAGGAACCAACGCCGGGGTCGTGGAGGGGGGCGGCGCGCCTCCCCCTTGTTTTAGGTCGGGCGTGTCCTCCTACAGGGGGGATTTTGGACGAAAGATAAAAGATAGTCGAACGCAGATGCGAAACTTGTCAAAACATCCAGACAAAAAACCGCCGCCAGACTATGTTCTGACTATTTTGGAATGCTCCCTCCTGTAGAGGGACAGGCCCGACTCGATCCTCGTGCCTGCAGGGAGGGAGAACCATCCAAACCTCCTCGCCTGGCGCTCGCGGGGCAGCCCCGGGCGTTTGCAGGATGAGCCCTGCCCTGCTCGGAGGGGCTCTCCTTCCCCAGAGGCGCCTGCTGCAAGGCCTCGCCTTTGCGGGGGGGCTGATTGCCGCGAGGGTGATTCGGATGGCGTCTGGCTCCTTCCTCCTCCCCCACCCCTCCTCTCACTCCTCCTCTGGGGGGGTGGGTCCTCGTGCGTTGGCCCCGCCCCCTAATCCTCCGTTCACCCCCCCACGCCCTCCTGTCCCATCCCCATCTCCCCCTTGGCAGCCCCCTCTTGCCGCACCAATGTCAGACTCTGGGCGAGATCCCGGGGCCACTAGCTGTTACCGCACGTGCTCAGCACGCCGACTCTGAGAGGCCCACCACGGACTTGGGCAACCGGGAGCTTGAAGAAACATGCTGTGAGAACACCTCCGCGCCTGTCCAGCGTTCCCCTCCCGCACCTCCTGCTCCTTCTCCTCCTCCTTTTCCTCCTCCTCCTCCTCCACCTCCACCTCTCCTCCTCCCACTCCTCCTCCCCCTCTTCCTCCCCCTCCTCCTCCTCCTCCTTCTCCTCCTCCTCTTCCCTCCTCCTCCTTTTTGACTGGGGTGCGCACGGGGACGGGCCCTCTCTTCCTCCTCCTCCCTCCTCCTCCTCCTCTCCTCCTCCTCCCTCCTCCTCCTCCTCCTCCTCCTCCCGCTCCTCCTCCCCCTCCTCTGTCCTCCTCTTCCTCCTCCATCCACTCCCCCGTCCCCCGAATCCCTCGTCCCACTCCGTGCCCCGTCCTCCCTCCTCCTCCGGGGCTTCATGCTCCGTTGCCACACAGCCCGCCGTGCGGCCTTTCGCGCCACGTCGATGTTCTCGTGGCTGAGGCCCACAGGGGCGGCGTCCTGCGCAGAGGCGCGGCGCCGTTCGCTGCGGCTTCGCTGCTCTCTCCCCCCCTGCTTCCTCCTCGATCCCCACCCCTTTCGTGCTCGCCTTCCCTGCTGCCTGCTCTCTCCCTCCTCCTCACCCCTCAACCCTCATTCCGCGCTCCTCCCCCCTTGGGCCCCCTGTCCACCTCCTCCCTCCTCCCTCCTTCTCCCCCATGCCCGCTCACTTTGAGGGGCCTATGCTGCGCCCTGCCCTTGGGTGGGCCCCCCCCTGTCCACCTCCTCCCTCCTCCCTCCTGCTCCCCCAAGCCTGCTCCCCTTGAGGGGCCCATGTTGCGCCATTTCTTTGTTTCAAGCCCATACGCTGGCTCTTGCGGCGAACCGACGTGCGATCGTAATGTGTGTGTGTGTGGCACTGAAGGATTGTCTCCCTTCCCCTTCTGCTTCCCATCCTCCTGCTCCTCTTCCTCCTTCCTCTTCACTTCCCTTCTCCCTCCTCTTCCCCCCCCCGCCACCCTTCCCCTCCTCCATCCCTTCCCTTTCGAGGTCCTTACTTTCTCATTCCACCCTACTCTGCCCTCGTCCTCCCTCAGCCTCCCTCCTCCCTCCTCCCCTTGGCCTGCCCCTAAAAACTCGAATTGTTTGCGATCCGCTCCCTGCATTTCGCCTCTTGGTCCATCTTCCCTGCTCAATGGTGCTGCTGCTGCTGCTCTTCTTCCCTTCCCCCCACCCCCTTTACATCCATATCCCGGCCCACGCCGCTCCTGCTACGCTCTTCTTTCCTGCCTCCCTTCGGCTCCTGAGCGCGCCCCCACATGAGAGCAGCTTCACAATACAGAATGTTACGGCGAACTTCCTCAACCAGAATTATGGACCAGTGCACCCTGATGATACCGCTTCTTCACACGTTTGGCATCGCACTGTCTTGGCAACCTCGCAGCAACACCTCAAATCCAACGAAGCCAAAACTGGTGGAGGCAGTCGTGCAGCTGGTCTGAAGCTGTCACTCCCTCCTTCTTCGGACACTGGGTCTGGCAGCATCACAGGCCTGTTCTCTGCTTGCCACATGGAAGCCCTCCAATCCCTCCACACCGAAAGCTCCCCTTCAAATCGTGCAGTCCGTGCTTTAGAGCTTCGCCCCCTCCCTTCTCCCCCCTCGAACCTTTCTCTCCCACGGCCATTGCCCCTCCCGTCCCCTCCCGCCCTCCCCCCCAACGAGTTCTTCCGCCCATCCCGCTCGGACGCTGCGCCGGCACGGTGGCAACCGTCCACATCTGCGGAGGCAAGAGCGAGCGCAGACACCAGAGCACGCGACGACGCAGGCAGCAAACAACGCCACGACCAGAAGCTGTCGGCACTCCGCGCGAGCTTCCTGGATCAGCGCTAGACCCCGTACCTGCCTCCTCTTCCTCCTCCTCCTCCTTGGCGCGCGAGAGCGGCGGCAACCCGGAGGCGCCGCCCGGGGGGGAGGGGGGGCACAGCGGCCGCGCGAGAGCGGCGGCAACTGGGAGGCACCGCCCAGGGGGGGGGGGGCACAGCGCCGACCCACGAGACGTCCGCGCGGAGAGATCCGACAGATTTGCGGTCGGGAGCTGGCGACGCCCGCCCTGCCTCGCGAGCGGAGGCTGGGAAGCACTCGGGGCGATCACGCTCGGGGGCGGACTGGGATCAGGTCGGGCGTGTCCTCCTGCAGGCGGGTTTTGGACGGAAGCTAAAAAGGATACGCAACAATGCCCTAAAAGAGCCAAACCGAGTCAACAAACTCGTCCCCCGACTATTTTTGGACTATTTTGGAATGTTCTTCCTGTAGAGAGGGACATGCCCGACTTACCACTGGGACGTTGCCGGCGCGTCACGCCGAAGCGTGGTGGGCCAGATCCGTCGGCACGACACGCTGAGCCAGCGTTCCTGGCCGCATGATGCGCGTTTTTGTTTGTTCGGCGTTTCGACACTGGGCGGAAGTATCGTTTCCAACGTTCGGCATTACTCAGCCAAACTATTTTTGTTTGACTATTTTTGAATATTCCTCCTGTAGAGGGACATGCCCGGCTTGAGCCAACGGTCGGCGACTCTGAAGGGTGTGGTTTACGAAAGGTGAAAGGTGCGAATTGCAACGGGCACCCTGGGGGGGCACCCCAGGGGGGGGTAGGGGCGGCGGGGACCTCGCTGGAGTTCTCCGCCGCGCCCCGAGGAGGCTCGACGAGGACAGTGTCGTGCCCCCAGGGCCCCACATGGGGGACAAACAATCCCCCCCTCAGACTGACCACCCCGACAAGCGGGGCCGTTTAGTAAGCGCAGCCAAAGAAGAACTCGAACAGGGCAGGGCTGTTTAGTAAACGCCCATGGCCGTGTAGTAAACGCTGATGATTGTCGGGTCCAGGTGGTTTTTCTTCCCTTGAGGAAGGCGGGGGGGGGGCGGGTCTGGCTCTGGACCTCTGCCTGGTGCGACTGTTTGGGACCGCGCCTCCTCTGGGGGAGACTCCACCCGCTCGAAACAGGCGTCAAGAAGAAACAGCCAAGATCTGCTCCACGGGGGGGGGGGGGGGGCGGGAGCCCGCGCCGATCGGCAAAACAATAAAAAATGATCACGTGTTCGTGCCGATTGCTTTTCCTCGATCTCTCGAACTCTTTTTCTGACAGCCCCTCTTGAAGAACAGACGCCTCTCTAAGATGGGGTCCGAGCAGATGGGGTCGGACGGTCGCATCGCATCGCCAATACATTGGCGATGCATCGCCGATGCATCGGCCAGTGCATCGGCGACGTCGGCGATGTATGGGCGCCGTGTGTGGAGAAATTCGGGCTCCACATAGAGCCGCATCGCCGATGCATCGGCGATGCGGCGCGATTCTCCGACCCCATCTACTTAGAACCCATCTGGGAGGCCTAGGGTTAGGTCGGGCATGTCCTCCTACAGGCGGATATTGGAAGAACAAGAAGACATAATCAAGCCATAATCACACACCGTCAAACAATCACGTACAATCGCCACCATCATGTTTTCTACTATTCTTGAAGATTCCTCTTGTAGAGGGACATGCCCGACTGAAGGCCTGGGGGCGATATCTCTGGAATTCTCCACGCGCGGCGCTGGCGGCAGGCAGGCGGTCGCGCGTTCGAGGGGCTGCCGCTCAACAGCAGCCCGGCGCTCCGAAGCGTCGGCCGTCTCCGACCGCGGCGCCCCGCGCGAGAAACGCGCCCCCTCGTCCCCTCCCCCCCCCCTCCCTCTCCCCTCCTCCTCCTCCTCCTCCTCCCTCCTCCTCCTCCTCCTCCTCCTCCTCCTCCTCCTCCTCCTCCTCTTGCTGCTCCTCCTCCTCCTCCTCCTCCTCCTGCTCGTCCTCCTTCTTCTCCTCCTCCTCCTCGTCCTCCTCCTCCTCCTCCTCCTCGTCTCCTCCCCTTTCCCCCAATTCTCAATTTGGGCAGCCCACATGTAGAACAAGACAAAACCAACATAAACTTTTGGCGCTCCGCGCGGGTTTCTTCTGCGTTGGACCCCCCTCCCTGGCGTGCGGAGCGCGCCAAGGGCGGCTCTGGAGGCGCCGCTGGGGGGGGCCCAGCGCGGGTCCAAGAAATCCGCGCGGAGCGCCAACAGTTTATGTTTATGGCAATTCTTCTTGTTCGAGTCCCCTCCCCCTCAGTTTTGGGGTAGACCACGTGGTCCCAGTATGAGAAGTGTGCACACCTGCGCGGCACTACCCTAGGTTGGTGGACGTCTGCGAGCCTCTTGCTCGAATCATGGCATGGTATCGGCGTAAGCAAGCCTGCTTCAGTTCCGAAAAAAAGTCTCCCTTCCCATCCACTGAGGGGGGGCCCCCAGGCACAGCGGTGCCAGCGCGACTTGAAATTAGCCAGGAACACAAGGGTCCGAAGTCGACCCCGGCTTGTGCCTGCTTCCCGTTTGCACACGTGTGCCCGAAGAGATGGCAGACGTGCCCGGGCGTGTTTGTCCACGCCGTGGTGTGGGCGTTTGGTTCTGCCTCTCGGGCGCGACGACGCTCCCCTGAGGGGGAATGGGGGCGGGGGACTGGCCCAGGGGGGCGCGACGACGCTCCCCTGCGTGTGTTTTTTGCTCGATGGTCCAGGATGGTCCTCACCGAGAAACAATGCACACGTCCGAGCGATGCCAAGGGCATCAACCTGGACTCGACGATGCGTCGCCGATCGATCGGTGGTAGGCCCCCGAATATGGCGAATCCGCACTGGCCTGGGGCGGAGTGGGCCATCATCCGGCCCCTGTCGGCAATACGCGTGGGCGGCTGGGGGTAGATGCGTCCCCTGGAGCCTGGACCCCGGGACCCCCCCAGCGTAGCCCCAGACCTTTCTCTCGGGCTGGGCGAAAGGGGGGGATAGAAAAGGGGGGGATAGCAAAGGGCAGGGTAGAGAATCAGCTCACGTAGCTGATTTTCCCGGCGCCTTCGGGCGCCGGAGGCACCCATGTATCGAGGAATGGACCCCTCGGTGGGGCCGAAACCAGCTGCATGCAGCAGATTTCGTACCCCCCCCTTTCCCATCTCCCCCCTCTTTCGTCCGGCCCGACCCTCCCCCTCCCTCCCTGCTCCCTCCTCCCTCCTGGCGCTTTCTGCCCTGAGCAAGCGGTGCTGACGATACACGCGTCTGCATATGTTCACATATTCGGAGATGGACAGACCCCTCTTTAGCACAACGTGGTTTAGTGAAAACGACCTGAGGCCCAAACCTGGCGGGCGCAAACCTGGAAAATGACGGCCACGGCGCCCTCTCGAGAACCGAAAACGGACAATTCACGAATCGACGTGTCACTGTTGGGGGTTCTGTCCAGCCCCGACATATACACATCTCTGTACATATGGCCGCCTCCAGAAATCCTCACCACAAACGTGTTGTCATCTCTTGGGGGCGTCTCTCTCACTTCTGCCGCCCTCCACCAGCCCTTCGCCGGCCTCCGCCGGCGGAGGCGGCCTCGTTCTACTTCCGCCGCCTCCCGCTGCCTTCCGCCGATGCAGAGATGGCAACTCCTTCGATCCTCGAAGGCAAGGCCTTC